CACTTTCATCAAGAGGCTCTTTAGTTCTTCACTTTCTGCCATAAGGGTGGTGTCATCTGTGTACCTGAAGTTGATATTTCTCCTGCCAACCTTGATTCCAGCTTGTACTTCCCCCAGCCCAGCATTTCTCATGATGTACTCTGCATATAAGTTAAACAAGCAGGGTGACAATATACAGCCTTGATGTACTCCTTTCCCTATTTGGAACCAGTCTGTTGTTCCATGTCCAGTTCTAACTGTTGCTTCCTGACTTGCATACAGATTTCTCAAGAGGCAGGTCAGGTGGTCTGGTATTCCCATCTCTTTCAGAATTTTCCAGTTTATTGCGATCCACACAATCAAAGGCTTTGGCATAGTCAATAAAGCAGAAATAGATGTTTTTCTTAAACTCTCTTGCTTCTTCAATGATCCACTGGATGTTGGCAATTTGATCTCTGGTTCCTCTGCCTTTTCTAATTCCAGCTTGAACATCTGGAAGTTCACGGTTCACATACTGTTGAAGCCTGGCTTGGAGAATTTTGAATATTACTTTGCTAGCATGTGAGATGAGTGCAATTGTGTGGTAGTTTGAACATTTTTGACATAATCTTTCTTTGGGATTGGAATGAAAACTGACCTTTTCCAGTCCTGGGGCCACTGCTGAGTTTTCCATATTTGCTGGCATATTGAGTGCAGCACTTTCACAGCATCATCTTTCAGGATTTGAAATAGCTCAACTGGAATTCCATCATCTCCACTAGCTTTGTTCATAGTGATGCTTCATAAGGCCCACTTGACTTCACGTTCCAGGATGTCTGGCTCTAGATGAGTGATCACACCATTGTGAATATCTGGGTCATGAAGATCTTTTTTGTATAGTTCTTCTGTGTATTCTTGCCAGCTCTTCTTAATATCTTTTGCTTCTATTAGGTCCAAACAATTTCTGTCCTTTATTGTGCCCATCTATGCATGAAATGTTCCCTTGGTAACTCTAATTTTCTTGAAGAGATCTCTAGTGTTTCCCATTATATTGCTTTCCTCTATTTCTTTTCAATGATCCCTCAGGAAGGCTTTCTTGTCTCTCTTTGCTATTCTTTGGAACTCTGCATTCAAATGGGAGTATCTTTCCCTTTCTCCTTTGCCTTCTGCTTCTCTTCTTTTCACAGCTATTTGTAAGGCCTCCTCAGACAACCATTTTGCTTTTTTGCATTTCTTTTTCTTGCTGATGGTCTTGATCCCTGGCTCCTGTACAATGTCACGAACCTCCATCCATAGTTCTTCAGGTACTCTGTCTATCAGATCTAATCCCTTGAATCTATTTCTCACTTCCACTGTATGATCATAAGGGATTTGATTTAGGTCATACCTGAATGGTCTAGTGGTTTTCCCTACTTTCTTCAATTTAAGTCTTAATTTTGCAATAAGGAGTTCATGATCTGAGCCACAGTCAGCTCCCGGTCTTATTTTTGCTGACTGTATAGAGCTTCTCCATCTTTGGTTGCAAAGAATATAATCAATCTGATTTTGGTATTGACCATCTGGTGATGTCCACATGTAGAGTCTTCTCTTGTGTTGTTGGAAGACTGTGTTTGCTATGACCAGTGTGTTCTCTTGGCAAAACTCTGTTAGCCTTTGACCTTCATTTTGTACTCTAAGGCCAAATTTGCCTGCTACTCCAGGTATCTCCTGACTTCCTACTTTTGCATTCCAGTCCCCTAAAATGAAAAGGACATTTTTGGGAGGTGTTAGTTCTAGAAGGTCTTGTAAGTCATCATAGAACCATTAAACTTCAGCTTCTTCAGCATTACTGGTCAGGGCATAGCCTTGGATTACTGTGATAATGAATGGCTTGCCTTGGAAATGAACAGAGATCATTCTGTCAGTTTCGACATTGCATCCAAGTATTGCATTTCGGACTCTTTTGTTGACTACGATGGCTACTCCATTTCTTCTAAGGGATTCTTGCCCATAGTAGTAGATACAGTGGTCATTTGAGTTAAATTCACCCATTCCAGTCCATTTTAGTTCACTGATTCATAAAATGTTGACATTCACTCTGGTCATCTCCTGTGTGACTGCACAAAAGGATGACATCTGTTCTTCATCCTGATGAAGCTCCTGGAACCACAGAACCAAAGACGTAACCCTACCTAAGAGGTGTGTTCTGTCTCTGCACCTGATACAAAAGCTGCTCCTGTCATCTTCTGCGGTGGACTGTCTCCTCCCAGAGGAACACTCCCTTACCCACCTGTCCTGGCTAACCATTGATTTCTCACACCTCTGTCTCCTTAATGGGCCTCTTGTCTTCACTGTCTTCTCCTTCAAATATCACCTGGTACCACAGACTACTAGAACCCACTTGCTTCACGGACCCTGAAAGGGAGGCCCAGTAATCTCCCATGGATTCTTTCTCCCAAGTTACAAAGCAGTCAGGGGAAAGATGTGAGGCTTGACCTCAGACTCCAGGCCCTAAGCCCAGCGCTCTTTCCTGGGTAGTTCCCACCAGGCCTGGGCTGACTACTGGGAGGCTGGTGACCCCTGCAGGTGCCTGCCTGCAGGAGCTGATTTGCAGGAGCTCTTTGGCTTACATTGACACTGATGGGAAACGAGTTTGTTGGGGCCAAAAGGAATAGAAGGATAAGAAAAAGATAGGGATGGCGGGGGGGAGGGGGGGCGGGTTCTGACCCTTAGCCAGGCCCGTGGACTGGTTTTGAGCCCCAGGAGGGAGAAGCGGGTGAGAAGTGAGAATGCCCCACTTGTGAATGGCTGAGTCAGACTCTGGGAGGAAGCTGTGCTGCTCCAGGGCCTGGAGATGAGGTACACACAGAATCAGGAGAGCCCGCCCTAGCACTCCCACCCCAGGGTGGCAAGAGTGGGCAGGAGGGCAGATCACACTCTCCCAAAGGAAGTGCTCCCACAGCTGGGGCAGCGAGGACCTCTCGAGATGGTGTGAATCAAGGGTGTGATGGCACTTGTTTCCGAGCCCAGGTAAGACAGCACAGCCGTAGGCACTCCCAGAAGTACCTGGCAAGAGACTGGTGGTTACTGGGGCTAGAGGGGCTGGGGGTGACTGTCAGTGGACTGATACCCTGGAACCTATGGGTCATACATCATGACACTGACCCTGAATATCATCTTCTCAAGCCCACATTCACTTGTTCATTTATTCAGCAAGTATTTATGAAACACTTAAATGCTCAATATAGATCAGTATAGATCTATATTGATATCTCAAATCAATACAGACTACCATTCTTGTATCAAGGATACCCAAAGGTGAGCAAGAAGGAAAAGCCCTCTGTTTTCAGGTGCTTACTATCCTGCTTAGCTTATGCAATTCCATTCTCTTCTACTTGGGCTTCTCCTCTCTGGGACCTTAGTGAAGAAGGAGGGTAACATACAGTGAGAAAAATAATTACCAAAAAAGAGATGGCTTGAAGCATCTTTAAGAACTCCCTACAGAGGCATTAATCTTTCTTTTTGGTGAGATTCTTGAGAGTAAGGACTCTTGGAGCATGGGAGGCTTGTACTGTGGGCTCAGAGGACATAAAATGATGCTGTTCCACGTTGGATGAGCTTTCCTCATGGCAAATCATGACCTCAGAGTGGGTCCTATCTGGACAACTGCGCTCTGCCTGGAGCTGTTTTAGGAGACCAGCTGGTACAAGATGCAATCACATGGCTTCCTAAGAACTTAAGCCACTTAGCTCAAAGCCTGGCAGATCTTTAGCATTGGGTACTAGGCTGAAACAGGAGGTGGCACATTGTATCATGAGCGATGGTTGGCTAGGAGCTTGGCTCCTGTAGCTTAATCAGAGGGCAGAGGAAGGTAGGACCAGTGGGGGGTCTGGAGCAGCTGCAGACAATGGACAGAGTAGCAGAGGGCTTGAGGAGCCAGGGGGTCTCCACTCCTGATAAAAAATGCTTTGAACACTGCCATCTATGCTGAAAATTCCTTCCCTTAGTTGAGTTTGAGATCTCAAAATCAAAATGGTTCCAAAACTGAAAAGCTTCTGTTTCTATCCATACCCTAATAAGAACTGTCACAATGAAGTTTAAAAAAAAAAACAAACAAAAATACACCATTTGTTTTAACAATCTCTGAGTGTGATCACAGAAAACACACAGAAAGAATAATTTCCCTGAGACTTTCAGTGCTGAAATTTCAAGTTTCTTGATCAGGCAAGGTCAATGTTTTCAAGTTTCAGATGGAAATTTTTTTATCCCCAATTTCTGGTGGGGGGCAGGGGGTTGTGTATTCACCTCTGGGAAATGTGAAGTGTTGGGAGCTCGGATGCAAAGTGCTTTCAAGTGCACAGTGATTATCATGAGATTCTCATTGTTTTGTAGCTATTGCTTCTGTTGTATTTTTAAATGTTTATTTATCTTATCATTTATTTGGCTGCACTGGGTCTTAGTTGAGGCATGCTGGATCTTTAAGTTGCCGCATGTGAGATCTAGTTTTACTGACCAGGAAGGGAACCTGGCCCCCTGCATCAGGAGTGCAGAGACCTAGCCACTGAACCACCAGGGAAGTCCCCTGGCTATTATTAATACCTTTGCATTCTTGGTAGATAATATATTGGACCCAATTTATGTAATAACTTTTAGCTGAATAGCATAAAGAATTGTATGACTCTTCTCATCACAATGAACACAGGTATTTAGCATCTTTAGCTCTTAAAGATATTACTATTAGCAGCCCAGCTGTGATCGGCTAAATTTGGGACCTGCTAGGAACCCTTCTGTCTGAGTGTTGAAACCTAAAGCTGGACTCTACATTTCCTTGATTACCTGAACTCCACATTAAGCTAAATTAAACTCTTTGCCCTCTATTTAAATTTTCCTTCTTGGCATATTGCCAAGATAATATATCCTTGGGCTGGTAACTCAATAGTACAGAAGTACATTGTTTTGAAAATCAAACTGAATTTGAGAGCCCCCAGAAGTGACAGAGTAAGCTCACCTCCTGGGTGAGCTCCTCTAAGCCATGGGCCTCCAGGCTGGCTGGGGGCTCCTCCTCAGGGCAGCTCACTGCCATCCTCACCCAAGAGAGCCGAGACGTTTCTCTCTCCTAGATCCTCAGGTCCCAGGGCCACAGCCTTCTGTGGCGCTGCCAGGCTCTGTGAGGAGACACCGTACACGGGTGTTACCAGCACGAGTGTGGACAGACAAAGTGTCTGACAGGCCTAGCTCTTCTTTCCCTTTAGCCCCACCTCGGCAGCACTTCCTCCAGCCCCCTCAGGCCTCTCACTTTCCCCACGGAGGTGACCAGCCAGGCCTCACCTCGGACCTCACTGTCTGGCTCTCACAACTGTTGCTGTTTAGTCGCTAAGTTGTGCCCGACTCTTTCACGACCCCACGGACTATAGCCCACCAGGCTCCTCTGTCCATGGGATTTCCCAGGCAAGAATCCTGGAGCAAGTTGCTGTTCCCTTCTCCAGGAGATCTTCTGGACCCAGGGATCAAACCCACACCTCCTGCACTGGCAGGTGAATTCTTTACCACTGAGCCACCTCTAAAATCTAACCCTCAGCCGCCTCTCTGACCACGACCTCTTGCCATGGACTGCTAGGGCTTGGCTGGATCTCAAGAGTCATTTAGTTCAGCCTGCACATCCCAGAGGTGAGAAAAGCCCAGCTATTCACGGAGGTGCTCACAGGTGCAGGGCTAAGGAGTGTGAAGCCAGGCCTCCTGACTCCCGTCTGGGACTCTTCCTGCCATAGCACACTTCTCATTCCCCCCTCAAACCTCCTCATCCCATCTGTGCCCTCATTGACCTCTGACCTCTGCCCTCCCCCACACCTGCCAGGCCAGCACACTCTCCTCTCCCTTTCCTCCCCCACTCGGCCTAGGGGCCTGTCGCCCGTGCCTTCAGACTCCATCCTCTGGGCCATCCCCAGTTCTGGCTGTCCCCAGAAATACATGCTATTTCTGCCCATCTCCCTGGGCCATGGCTTATTGTACAGAAAGCCACAGAAATGTCCCGACTAGATCCACCATTTTTACCACCTGTGTGACCTGGGCAAGTAAAGAAACCAAACCGCAGTTTCCTTGCATGTAAAATGAGTATAATTTTAGAACTTTAGGGTTGAAAGGTTTGCCCATTTAAAGTCATGAACGCACTTAGCACACAGCCTGTTATAACCCCCAAATAAATCCTAGTTATTATAATAAGGTAGACGCAGAGGCCGCAGTACAGAACCCAGAGGATCTGGGATGTCCTTTCTGGTCAATGGTCAGACTGAGCTTCCCAGGTAGCTCAGTGGTAAAGAATTTGTCTGCCAGTGCAGGAGATGCAAGAAAACCCTTGGAGGGGGAAATGGCAATCCATTCCAGTATCCTTGGCTGGAAAACTTCATGGACAGAGGAACAGTGGACTATAGTCCATGGGATCTCAAAGAGTCGGACATGACTGAACATGCCTGCAAGTATCCAGGGCAGACATTGAGAGCTTGTGGTCAGAGAGAGGTACGTCCAGGACTGCGGTCTGTGAGGGTCACTTGGGTTGCTTCCTGTGGGGTGCACTTGGAGCAGGAGGACAATGCAGTGGGGTCACAGTGACCAGGTGGAGAAGGCATGGTAAGTGCCAAGAAGGCAAAGTAACAGGAGCGGGGGACATCAAGGACAGCACCCCGGGTCTGTGAGTCTCATCTCTGCGTCATGCATCATTAGCATCCTCTCTTTTCCTCCTGCTCTGAAGCCAAGGATTCTAGTGACATCTCTGCCGCCTGTTAATCCTGGCTGAGGCCCTCGGACAGGGGAACTCTGACCTTCACCAGAGCTGGGGTCCTCCCTGCAGGCTGCTGCATGTTACAGCTTTCTCGGCAGCTGTAAAAAACACTTAAACCTTTCCCCTGTGCTCTCCTCCCCTGGCAACCGGATCAACAGTGGGGTGAATGCAGAGCAGAGGCGCTTTCTGCAGCTCTCTGGGCGGTTCTAATGTGGCAGCCATGATTTGGAAGCAGTCAGACCAGAGACCAGTCTCACTTCAGGACTTGGCACCAAACAGCACTCTGCCTGGGCATGACTCTTTCAGTTCTCTCTTTTCAGTCTGGATGAGCAGTCCTCAGAATCTCTTGCCTATCCGAAGACATTCTTCATTAGTTCACCCAGACATTGTGGCGGATGCTGTCAGCATCTATCCAATGGCAGTTGACCCTTCTGCTGAACAGACTCCAGTTGGTTCAGGTTGTGGCATCAGAGAAGAGGGGCTCCTCCCCCAACACCCAGGGAATGAAATTTGATTGATCTAAATCAATCATGGTCATAGTAATCTTCTTCATCTCTTCCAAAGACTGCCGTGTGGGTATGACACAGTTCTGGCCCATGAAATACAAGAATACAGCTGAGGCGCTTCTGGGAAATTTTCCCTTCTCAGTGTAAAGAACATGTGAAAAGGGCTCGGCCTCTCCTCTCTCTTCCCTGCTCCGAGAGGCTTAGTGTAAGGATGTACAGGTCAGTGCTGCTACCGCTGTCTTGTGACCAGGTGGGGAGACGTGACTGATATTCCTTAATGCCACTCCTCAGCTGCAGGGCCAACCCTGAAACAATCTGCTTTGAGATTTACAGTGAAATAAAATGCTAAATGTCCTTGGTATTTATTTACACTACTTTTCATGGGGGTGGAGGAGGGTGGGTATCCTGTTATTCACAGCTGAAAGCTTCCAAAAGATATAGACATCTCATTCAGTAATGCCTCACAGGTGAGTCTGACAAAGAATAGGGGGTTTTTGATGGTCTCTCCTATAGAGGTACTTCAGCAGTTGTTTAAGATGAAGCAATCTGTAGTTAAGACTCCCAACTCAGTCCCCAAAAACTGGAACCCCTTCTGTCCAATGAAATATTAGTTGTCAGAGACTCTTTGCGATCACCTAGTAATTAAGTGGACCCTCTTTGTTATCATCCCCAGCAATGCCTGACTTGACTGCCGCTGCAGAATGCGGCGCAGGTGGTTGTGGTGTCGTGGTAATCAAAGGCAAGTAAGACTGAAGGTGCACAGGTAAGAGCTGAGTTCCATTGGGCTTTTTACGTAATTTTTTTTCCCAGTGAATACATTTTAGGACCTTTCCTCTGTCTTGTGTCTATCTAGTTCCATGAAATTACTTAATTTCCATTGCATTGTAGATTTTTACCAAGTTGCATTCTGATGTAGTTGTACCTTTAAATTTATATGTAAAGTCTGCATGGGCTATCAATTTGATGAACACCTCACAGGAATTATGTGATAAAAATAATTAAAGCACTGAGATTCCTTATTGACAAAAGCAGAAACTATCTCAAACTGAATATTTGAATTCTAAACTGGTGATTTTTATTCCATGCCAGAAGCAATGATTTTCTCTCAGAATCATCTTTGTTATTGTCATAAAAATCACTGAGGAAATCGTGAGCATGAAAGAAGTATTTATTTAACTTGCATCTTTTCAAGAGTATGTCTAATGATATACTCTTAAAGATAAGCTATATATATTAAATATTAAGCATATGTAATATAAACTATAGTATAAATTATAAAACCCACTGGTCATCTGTGGTTAAAAATAGCTGTCATTCTGTTATACTTTTGCATCATTAGGGTATGTAAAATTTTATTATTACCTGTTCTACCACCTATATAATTGTCACCTTAACTCTAAACTCAGAAATCCGACATTTTCAGGTGAACATAAAGATTCTTGTTCCTCGTAGCCCCATACAGGAAATATGTTGAGATAAGAGAGGGGAGAAAATGAGAAGCATATCTTAACAGTGTCAACAGCCTAGGGGGTACTTCTCACTGCTGTGAACAAGAGGCCTCTGCCTGAAAAATAACATTTATTCATGTATAGTGGTGGATGGCATCAAAACACCAGATCTCACACCACATTACTAGCTGTGTGACTGTGGGTCATTTACTATCTTTGAACCTCGGTTGTGTCCACCCTCAAATTGGAATACTAATCTCCAAACCAACTACCTCTCAGACCTATTATAAACTCTTAAATAAAGTAATAAAAAGGAAATGCTCCAAATGAAAGCAGTTTAGAAACTATAAAGTGCTTTATAAATGTCAGAGACTAAATGTTTTCCTCTTTAATCTAAGGTATAAGAAATGTCAACAATTTTGTTTCTACAGTAATTCTGCTTACAAGCTTAACTATGTCAAATCTGTTAAATAGCCATCAGGTAACCATGGAGGAACAGCCAGGTCAGGATACCAGGCCATTGCCATGATATCTGCAATATTTTCCCATGTCGTCCCTCAGTGAGGTAAGCTGGGCAGCTTCCCTGCTTTTAAATAATTCTGCCCTTGTCCTTCTTTTCAATCGTTCTGACTTGCCCTGCAGACATTTTCTGACTGAGCCAGCTAGCTTCACATTCCAGCAGTGTGTTTGCAAGGTCTATTTTAGCCCAAGATCCTAGGTGCAAAGACCATAGTTAGTACTTGGAGGTACAACATGGTTTTAAATTGAAGTTTCAACTGAGATGATAATTGTATAATCGTTAGTTCCAAACTGAAAGTGAGGTAAAGCTCCATAGGGCAAGTTACAAAGAAACATGAAGGCTCCCCGGCCCTAAGGGTCCAGGCTGAGGCTAAAAATAAGGAGTCAGAGAGTGGAAGAGGGGAGAATGTATGAGACAATTTCTTTGAAGAGGAGGGTAAGGGTACCACCTCCCTTATCTCAAACTCAGTGAGAGGTCTTCCCAGTGACTGCAGTTAGATGGTCCACGGAAAACTAAAGCTCCAACCAAGGACAGTATGGAGGGGACGACATGAGCCTTCATCCTGAGAGTCTCAGGGACAAGAGATACATGGGGCCATCTTGAGACCCATCTAAAGGGGCTGGAGCAAACCCTGGATTTCTATGGGATGGGAAGGAACTGAAAGCAACCAGTAATTCATGCAGAGTAGTCAGGAAAGATTTCAGATCTGAAGAAGGCCAATACTTTGTGTTAGGCCCTAAAATTATCCAATGAACTAATAAGTATTTATTGTTTTATTATATGTGAAATCCTGTTGGGTACTTTGAAAACCACTTAGCTCCCTTTAGTTCATTCACGGTAATATCATTTCCCCTGCCTAACACTATGCCTTACACATAGTATGTGCCCCCAAATATTTTCAATTTAATTATTCTTTACAAGATACTTAGCACCAAAGGATGTGGCATTTTCCCAGTGTTGACAACACTTCAGCTGAAAAATCTCCATATTTAAAAAACGTGGTGCAATCCTGAATGGAGAGTGATTATGGTCTCACTTGTATTTAACACTGTAAAGTGTTGCTGAATGGTCTAACAGGAGAAAACAGAATTTAAGCCAGAAACATAAATGGAGTTCCTCTCACCAGTCAACACTAAGAACAAAAACTGCCGACCGGAGGCCTAGACTTGAATCTACCGCTGTCACTCACTAGACCTCGGGCCTGTATTTCCTCTCCTGTGAATAGGGATGCCAGGGTGGCTTCAACAGGGTGTCAGGGACGCTCAAAATGATAACACACAGTGAAACACTTTGTAAACTCTGAAGCGCTTCGCCCGTGCAAGGCCTTAATAATAGCATCAGTTTAACATTCGTTGACAGCCACATGCACAGCGCTTGAAATCTATTCTCTCAGTCTTCACAACTATCACAAGACCTAGCTAAGTACTATTATTCCCTCCGTTTTACAGATGAGAGACTGAGAGGGTTAAGCATCTAGTTCAACCTGAACCAGTAAATCCTGAATCTTACCCCTAAACACTAAGCTGCCTTTTCTGTGTATTGTTATTTAATAGAGGCGCTGAGATCTCACACGGGCTCAACGAACGTGGTTCCGTAAACTGCTAATTTAAAAGCAGATCCCACTCCAGCTCTTCCACGCGGAACGCCTCGCCCTTTCTCGCCGCACCTGACGCTCTCTCTCCCAGCCTCCGGCCCTCGCCCCTCCCACTCCGCCCACGCCTCGGCGTTTCTGCGCATGCGCCGGGCTGTCTGCGCAGGCCCAGTGACCGAGCGGCGCCGGGGGACCTGTCAGTCCGTCCCCGCCCAGCCCCACCCTGCTGAGCCCCGCCTGCTCTCCTTCGCGGCTGAGGCTGTTGCCTGCGGGAAAACTGGAGGATGAGCTGAATCTCCGCAGTTGTTAAACGTGTCTCCAGCGCTAACCACAAGGTACTTTGGGTCTGGCCGGAAGCCCCCTTCCCTGCGCCCATCCCAACTCAGTCTCTGGTCCACTCCGCCTGTCCAGCAGCTACCTGGCTCTGCAGGGAGGCGGCCGGGCCGCCCAAGTAGTTTGTGTACGGTTACCATGGAGACACAGGCCGGCCGGCCGGGAGGAGCGGGCCGGCGGGCCAGCGGGCTGGCAGGCTGACAGGCGGGCAGGGTGAAGATGCTGCCTCGCTCTGCTCTGGCCTGGACCGGTGGAGGAGGGGGCATTGCCAGGAGTCGGGGAGCCTCTGGCCGCGCGGGAGGTGAGGCTTCACCTGCGGGTTCACTGGGGACCCCTTCTTCTGTCGTCGCCTTTCTGTCCCTGGATCGGGGAGAGAGGTGATGACAGTGAACTCTGCTTGCTCTCGGAGTCGGGTCGCGGATGTCTTTATTTCTACACCCTGAGGTTTAGCTAAGTGCGTGGTGCTTAGTTGAAAATCAGTAGTATTTGTTGAATGAGAGAGTGATAGACAAAGGGATTTTGTTTAGGCAGACAGTGACCCAGCCAAAGTCACACAAATTGTACTTGGGCTCCTCTAGGCAACAGATAGGGTCTTAAATAAGCGTATGTGTAACAATATACGTTAAATATATCGTATTACATATAATGTCTTTTATCATCCATTCCTACTAGTGTCACAGCAGACCTTCCGTCTCATCCTGATTTAGAATTATTTTACGTGGTAAAAAAGCAGGTACCACACCTTATTTATATCCTATTTTGTGGATTTATAAAATTCTGCTTGTTTTGACACAGCTGATAGTCAATAAAATACTTAAGATTCTTTTTTCACAAAGCAGAATACCCTGGTTTAAATTTTAAAACTTATAAAATATATTTAAAAAAAACACTGAACAAATGGCATTTCCTTTCTTTTGCAGTTTCTTTTTTGAAATGCGACTTTTCATTCATGAGAAAATTAATTGTTGTATCCTTTTATCACATAGCTTTGGGACAGTAGTTAACATTTTTTAAGGGCCAGTCACCATGCTAATCCACTTTATGTTAATTACATTTAATTTTCAAGACAGTCCTATGAGACAATTACTCTTTACAGCATGCTTTTTATAGATGAGGGAACGGAGGCTTAGAGATGTTAGAAACCCTGCCCAAGGTTACACAGCTGCAAATTGTTAAGAGTATTTGAACTTTACTCCAGCATCTAAGCATTTAACCACTGCTTGTTTGGATGCTCATATTATCACAAAAGTTATTCAGAATCATGGTAAATCATTTGATTTGCAGGGAAAAATAAAGAATATGGAGATGACAAGTCTTTCTCCTATTGCAAACATCCTGATAGTGCAGTGTTGCATTTAGCAAGAAGGCTCTGTTTCAGATGACTATGTACAGCAGAGGTAAAGACAGATGTTTATAATTAGGTATAAACTATAAATGATGACTTACAATCTTTCCCCTAACCAATAAGAAATACTTTGTTTGAAAAGGTCTCCAGTTTAAAATTTTCTTCTGCTGGTGGTGTTCATCCCCTAGAGTTTCTGTGGACATCATAAACTCAAGACAGTGATGCAAGACAGAACTCAGCTGCTACTTTCCCTTTGTAGTCCACATCTCCTTCTGTTTTCTTTTAAAAGGTCACCTTGCCCTCCCAAGGTTTGCATGTCATCTCTGTCCCCTTCCTGCCCTCTCAGATGCCAGATCCTGCTTCTCATGGTTCTCACATTCTTGGTGCCACTTGTTCTCATCTCTCTTCTTACCTCTGTTTCGCCTTTACTCCTATACTTCAGGCTTTTCATACCCCATCCACTAGTCATGACGTTTATCAAGTCTTACTCCATGCTGGGCAACTCAAAATGAAAGCAAGAAAGCAAAAAGGGGTTAAGTTTGATCTCCTATTGCCACTTGAAATAAAGTGGCCATATATTTTCTTAATCCACTCTAACAAATGCCTCCAGTTCAGAAGCCGTGCAACCTTCATCTGGTTTTCTAGCTAGGGTCTGTATTTGGAGTCCAGTTATTATGCACATGCCAACTTTCAGCTGCGCTTCTCATGGAGAACAGGCTCCGAGTCTGGTGGGGCACACCAGGTGCGCAGGCAGTTCTAACCCGGTGAGGGAGGAGGTGTACGGACGGAGACGACAGGAGACCTTGTGGAGCATGCGGGAGGGACACCTAACTGAGGCTGGGAAGGTGGGAGTGGCTTGTCCAGGAAAGCTTTCTTGAGGACCTCTAGGAGGTAGCTGGGTTATATAAAAACTGCCTGATTTTGTCCCTTCTAGTTTTTTCCATCCTGCCCATCCCTGCCATCATTTCATGCCACAACATCTTTTAATTTGCTTATCAGCTTTTATTTACTTTCTTGACCTGCCATTCGTTTCTCTCCCTGCTACAACTCCAGTCTTCATTTTCAGGGCTGCTCCTTATCCAGCACACACCTGGTGTATCCTTGATACTCTGCCTTGGCTCACTCGTTGACTTGCCTGGAAACTCCTTCTCTACTCCAGCCTCAGTGTCAGCCATTGTCATTTGCTCAAATTCAGACCACTTTCTAGAACCCAGCTCAAACATCATCTCCTCCAGGAAGTCTACCTGACACCTCCTAATCAGAAATCTCTCGCTCTTTCCTAATCACATGGTAGTTTATTTTTATTTGTTTTTTTGCCCCCATCAGTTTCTATCTTGTATTAAAAGCATATGAGCATAAGCAGCGTTGATACTCAGCTGGTTCACACCGAGAAGTCTATTCTGCTTGTGAAGACACGTGCATGTTTCTGTATTGGGGTATAAATAGCTGCAGCCCTGAGGCCTCTGCGTGCCCCACCTTCCACCACCCAATCTAGTGGGTAGTAGTTCGAATATCCTCAGCTCTGGGAACATGTGTGCATGTATGCAGTTGCTTAAGACTTTATCCATCTCACAGAATTAGATGATGTACTTGAGAGTACGTAGCACACTGCTTGGTTTTAAAGTATATGTTGAACGAGAATTAGTGGTCCTTCTCTGAGAGTGAAGACAGTGTTTATTCCTGTCTGTATTCCCAGAGATCCAAATAGAGGAAACAGCTGAATGGATTTGTTCCAGTTGTCAGGAGGATTTTTGTAAAATTAAAATTTCTATAATACTACTGTGTTATGGCTCAGGCATTCTTTACTGTAATAGACAACTGATCATTTTTTAAATTGGCAAAAACCATCTCTAATAAGAATTTGTAATTTAATAATTATAAAGAAAATACCCCATCAAACCCACTTCTAACTCAGTTCACTTGCATTATCGAACATTTCCATGTTTGATTTGGTTAATACTATATTAATATTGATATGATATTAAATTAATATCAATATTAATATTGATATGATAATAGATTAACTGTGCAGATACTACATTATTGAAAGGGTTTCTCAAAGTGTAACTGCTGAAGTGAGAATTGCAGAGGAGAGGAAAAGGGAGAAAGTTGGGTTAGAATTGATGGTAAAAATTTACAGAAAAAAGATTTTAAACCCATTCTGTATATCTTTTCCACTGGTATTATATATATATAATATATATAATATTATATTAATATTAATATATATTAACTAGCATTGAATATTTTTTAGTAAAGGGTCTATCATATCATATATTAGAAATAAATGTGCCAGGCCTGCTAGTTTTTGTTAGTTGTTCTAATGTACATAATTCTGGAGACCTTGCTTACATTCAAATGCCTATATTGAAAATCTCCAGAATAGTACTGCTTATCTAGTAATTTTTTTTTTTACTGTTTTTACTTCACCCTCTGGCCTTTCCCTGTGAAAAGAATGGTATATTGTTTGTAATTATCATTATATTCTTTTCTTCAAAAACTCTTAGAGTGGATAGAACTAAACAAATGTTCTTGTTGTCTGTTGTTAAGTAACAACTTAATGTATGAAATCATAATATAGGAAATCCTCTTTGGTTGTCTAAGGAATCACCTATTGATTCTACTTAGAGAAATGGGTTGTTTTCAGTTTCCTTAGATATGTTTCACAAAACCTTATTTTTTTGCAGAAGTTATTCTAAAATTGGGCAACTGAAATACATGAATAATTTTACAGATCTCAGTCTCCCTAGAGATACATTTTCAGAAGATTGGTTTTTCTTTTATTTTAAATGAATGAGTACTTAATACCATGTACTAATTAGAATTAAGTTTTTAAAATCTCAACTATTTTAAAGTGTAAAGCTGTCAAAGTTGTGTTGCCAAGTTACCCAGGCCTCTGTGGGGCACACAAGCGTTTAAGAAGAGTGTGCAACCTCAAGGGATGGGATGGTGGGGTGGGAGGGAGGTGCAAGAAGGAGATGCATGTATACTTATAGCTGATTCACAGTGTTGTATGGCAGAAACGAATACAACATTGTAAAGCAATTATACCCCAATTTTTTTTCCATTTATTTTTATTAGTTGGAGGCTAATTACTTTACAATATTGTAGTGGCTTTTGTCATACATTGACATGAATCAGCCATGGATTTATATGTATTCCCCATCCCGATCCCCTCTCCCACCTCCTTCTCCATCCGATTCCTCTGGGTCTTCCCAGTGCACCAGGCCCGAGCACTTGTCTCGTAATTTAAAAAGAGGGATGTGTATCCTCATGGCCCTTGTGTGTGACTGTACCTCTTTAACTGAGGGCGGTGTCTTGGGAAAAGATCACTTGATATTTTGTTATTTATTCATGTAGGACATTAACTCAAATTGAAGGCAGTTTGAATCAACTCATTCAGATACATCATAGGCGAATGTAAGGCTGAACCTATCTACAGTTCTAAAAGCTAGTATAGTTTGGATAGAGACCGCATCTGACTAACCTTAATCTTATACTGGCATTTTGTGTGGAGGGCAGTGGGAAAGAAAGGGAAACATCAGTTAAGTAGAACCATATACTTCAGTTAACAGAATCCCCTCCCACCTTGCCTTTGGATCTCCCATCTGTAAAACAATTGGAGACCTTGAGATGGTTTTCCCTTCCTAGGGTGTGTGCTTTCACAACTTACCTTCTTTCTCTCCAGGTTTAACTTTCACTCTGTGTCTCCTCCCTGCTTGTCATTCCCTCAATTGCATGTATTCCCTAAGGCATCACTGTTCACATCCACCCTGATCTTCAAAGTGCAAACTGCCTGGTCGATTTTTTAATTAAAAGTTGTGATTTTTTTTTCCAAGTTTAATGTACAGGAATGGTGTAAGCGTGTATGGGTAGGTTTGAGGACTCCTTTCTAAATGACTGGATGAAAGTAGTTGGTATTTTGTGCCCTGTATATGCAGGGTGTGGTGTCTTCTGAAGAACATTGCACTTTAAAAGGAAAGATGCTGTCTCCAAATGATAAAAAGTTAGAAAAGCTGGATCCGTTTTACCGACCTTCACTGTCCAAACAGAAGACCAGTGCGGAAATCATAAGTGAAGCGCGAAATGCCTTACGAGCTGTTAGGACCCAGAGACCATTTACACCACGGGAAGACCTAAGAAAACTGTTTGGGCCTGCATCTTCAAGAACACCAGAGAACAGACCTCCATCCTCCTTCAGGTATTCAGCTCTTCTCTTGTCTGTACACTCAGATGTGTATGTGTCACCAGATGACATTTTCCCTTAATTCTAGGTTTGGATAGTTGCTTTCTTTGACTTCTAAGTCAAACAAAGTTTGACTTCTGCTAATTATATCACTTATATCTGTCCAAGATTTCTAAAGATAATTCCAGACCTTGGGTCCAAGGAGTTGGCTGTGGTTAGAAATGGTTAATAATGGTTGTTATACCAACTTTATAAAGTCGTGTGAACAAAGCTTTAAAAAAATCACTATATACATTCCGTTTTTGAATTATTCACTATTTTTAATCCTCCTAAAAGCAAGAGAAGAGTTATTAAAAATGTTTAAAGTAACTATGATTTTTAAGAATTCTGTCCCCCCCAAGGCTTATGCGCTGAATGCTTTTACTTGTTGTGGAGTTAGAGTTAACTAGCATGTACTAGAAATAAAAGAAATGATTATTCACAAACCTATGTTTCTGTTCCATCTCCTGCTAGCGTCCACGCATCCAGTTTTGAGTTCTCTGATTCCAGGCCCATCTCTGGCACACGTCTCAGTCCACTGGAGCTTGTGAGTACTTTATATTACCATGGGTGTCGTGAAATGGAATTGGCCACAGTACTTGGAATCAGCACATATATTCTAAGAGAATGATCACATAGACCTAAATGTATTAATAATTTAATATGAAATCAAATTCTTCTATGTCTTTCCAAATGTAATCATTAGTACCTAATGAAACGCTTTTATTATCCACCAATAGTTTGATAGGGCATCCCAGGTGGCTCAGTGGATAAGGAATCTGCCTGCAGTTCAGGAGATGCAAGTTTGATTGCTGGTTCGGGAAGATCCCTGGAGGAGGGCATGGCCACCCACTCCAGTATTCTTGCCTGGAGAATCCCATGGACAGAGGAGCCGGCAGGCTACAGTCCATGGGGTTGCAAAGAGTCAGACACCACTGAAGCAGCTGAGCATGTACACACTCATAGTTTGATAACAAAGAGGAATTTTAGAAATATATGAAAACTGGCAAACAGAGTGTTTCACAGTATTTTTAAAGTTATGTGCATGTATTATGTTTTTAATAGTTATGTACACAAATAAATTATAGACGCATGTACATAGAGTCAAAAAAAAAAAAAACACTCCAGCAGTCTCCTGTCCCCTTATTTTTCATTCTCCACTCCCCAGTGGCTTTCATTTTAAACTCTATTGGCACATTTTTTTGGTATTTACATCTAGATTTTTAAATAATGCAGTGTCTTGCTGCTCTCTGACTTGAAAGCTTGAGGAATTATCTAATGACTTCCCAGTAGGAAAGAGGAAGATTTAACTCTCGTCTGCCTCCAGCGCCTCCTCACACAGATTCACCGTTTCTGTCTCTGCTGCCACTCACTATATAGATACAGCAAAATTTTGGTTAGAACCCTTTTTTCTGACAGTGATTGTATAAATTTTGTTTATAACTGAACTTTGAACTAATGATTGGTGATGATTACTTCTCCTTATCTGTACCACTTTTTGTCTTCCCTGGTGTTAATAGTTGCCTTGCTTTAATAGTATTATATTATTATTGTTTCAGTTCTAAATTCTTCAGGCCTTAATTTCCTTCATATATTCAGGCACATGAGATATTTTTTTGATTCATCTCCTTGGAGAACTTTCCACAATCCCTTCCTTGAACACTTGTCCTGGCATCTTGCACACAGCTCACTCCTGTTTCCAGTACTGGCTTTCCTATATCCTGTATCCCAAGTCCTCCTCTTTCCTGATTTACTCTTACTTTAGCAGAGTACTCCCTCCATCAGCTTCTTGAGAGAGGACATATGGGAGATAAATTATTTGAGACCTTCGTTGCTGCTTTTTCTCTTTGGAAGTTTGTAGGATTTTTCTTTTTGTTCCCAGTGTTCTGAAATGTCCTGTTACTGAGCACTTCAGATGTAAAATCTAGTGGCCTTCAGCTCTGGGAAATGTCCTTGAGTTATTTTGATGTGTTTTCCCCTCTTGTCTGTTCTGTTTGCCCTTTCTGGAATTTACTATTCAGGTGTAGGATCCCCTGGACTGGCACTTCAGTTCTCCTATTTTTCTTTTTTCTGTTTCCCATCATTTTTTGAATGAGACTTTGTCTTCTAATCCTTTCATTGGGTCCTTTTCAATTCTAGGATGGTATTTCTAATTTCCAAAAGCTTTTCCCTCTCTAAATTATCTTTTTCTTAGGAATTGTATTCTGTTCTTATTTCATGGTTGTAGCATCTTATTCAGTTGCTCAGTCATGTCTGTTTTCGACCCCATGGACTGCAGCACACCAGGCTTCCCTGTCCTTCACCTTTTCTGGGAGTTTTCGCAAACTCGTGTCCATTGACTCAGTGATGCCATCCAGCCATCTCATCCTCATAGCCTTCTCCTCCTGCCTTCAATCTTTCCCAGCATCAGAGTCTTTTCCAGTGAGTCAGCTCTTTGCATCAGTTGGTCAAAGTATTGAAGCTTTAGCATCGGTCCTGCCAATGAATATTCAGGGTTGATTCCTTTAGGATTGACTGCAATCCTTGCAGTACAGGGGACTGTCAAGAGTAGCATCTTTTCTTAGTATATTAATGGTAGTTTTGGTTTTTTAATTGTTTTTTTAAAACTTCTGTTGCTTTTGTGCTGTATATATATGTGTCTTTAACAACTGAAATTTATTTTCTCACAGTTTTGGAGATTAGAAGGCCAAGATCAAGGTGGCAGCACTGGTGCTTTCTTGCAGCTTTTCTCCTTGGCTTATAGATGCCTGTCTTTTCCTCTGTGTCTCTGTTGCAATTTTATTTTTGTCTTGGTCTCTCTTTTTTCTTATCAGAGATTCTCCTCTAATAGCTCATGCTGCTTATTTGGCTGTTCTTATTTGAGAGTAGAAGCATGTGGAACGGGTTGGTCAATCCTTAGCTGATACCTACCCAAACCTACATTTAGCAGGGTTTGACTGGGCTTTGTTTATAAAACCCCCAACAACATATCTGTTTAGGGCTTTCCTTGTGAGCTAGTCAGTTCTCTGTTAAGTTTTTCTTGGAGTATGAAGACTAAGTACTAACTATTGGGCTGTAGTTGTCCAGCTTTTATACCAAAGAAAGAGCCCAGAGTCAACAACAAAGACATCAGTTATAGGGGGCAGTTTCCCTGGCTCATTGCACGTGTGCTAAGTTGCTTCAGTCGTGTCCAACTGTTTGTGACCCCATGGACTGTAGCCCGCCAGGCTCCTCTGTCCATGGGATTCTCCAGGCAAGAATACTGAAGTGGGTTGCCATGCCCTCCTCCAAGGGATCTTCCTAACCAAGGGATCAAACCTGCATCTCTTATATCTCCTGCACTGGCAGACAGGTTCTTTACTGCCAGTGCCATCTGGGAAAGCCCAGGCTCATTAGTTACCAGGGAAACTAGCAGAGGGGCGTGCGCATCACTGCCAGTTTGATAAGCTATCAGGTGGAGATATTCTGATCTAAAGATTAGAAAGGTCACCAGCTTGGAGGGAGCAAGTAGTTAGGAAGGTCTGTCGTGTGAGTAGAGTGCAGGTAAGATAGATGCTATTCTGGCAAGGAACGTAGAGAACAGTCATCTTGAGTGGCCTGACCGTTGACCAACTCCCAGGAGCCAAGAGGAAGAAGGTACGAATGCCTAGTATTCAGTGCATAAACATCCAATTAATATCTATGTTTACATTAAGTACCCTGACCCTCAACAGTGCCTGGTTAGCCAGAGACACTGTTTTACCCTCTCTGAAGAACAAACCTCCCATCTGTTCCTGGGTTCACTAGCCTGACTGCCTACAGCTGGGAGGGAAGCAGTTACCTAGACTTTCAGCCAATTCTCCTTATTTCAGACTCATTTTTTCAGGCAAATATTTCAGATATTTCAGTACCTGGTGATACCAGTTCCTTAGACTTTCATAGAATTAGAATGTCAGTCAAGCAGCTTCTCAATTTTTATTACTGTTTATGTCTGCATGCTTGTGAATGTAGGTTTGTGCGTATGTATGTTTGTCATTGGTGAACTATTTTAAAGGAAGTTGCAGTCCTTAGAATACTTCATCCACAAAAATTTAAGTGTGCATCTCATATAAATAGGGACAGCCTCCCACACAACCACAATGCTATCATCAAAGCACAGAAAGTTAACATTATTCAGTAGTGTTATTTAACGTACAGTCCATATCCAAATGACCCCAGTTGTTTCAAAATGCATCTTTTATTCCCAAATACTCATCAAAATGCCTCTGTGAGAAAGACTGTACTTGTTCTTATATTGCAGATGACAAAAAATAAGATACCATATATATGGAATTTAGAAAGATGGTAATGATAACCCTATATGCAAAACAGAAAAAGAGACACAGATGTACAGAACAGACTTTTGGACTCTGTGGGAGAAGGCGAGGGTGGGATGTTTCAAGAGAACAGCATCGAAACATGTATATTATCTATAGTGAAACAGATCACCAGCCCAGGTTGGATGCATGAGACAAGTGCTCGGGCCTGGTGCACTGGGAAGACCCAGAGGAATCGGGTGGAGAGGGAGGTGGGAGGGGGATCGGGATGGGGAATACATGTAAATCCATGGCTGATTCATGTCAATGTATGAGAAAACCCACTACAATATTGTAAAGTGATTAGCCTCCAACTAATAAAAATAAATGAAAAAAAAAAAAGATACCAAATTAGCAAGCATGAACCAGTGTGCAATAAGTACTTTGTCAACCATTGTTGACACATGTCTTCTTGCACCTACAGCCTTGGAAACCACTTGTTTTTGAAGCAGCTACAGCAAGAGGGCCCCTTGAGTGGTCAGTCTGCCGTGTTGCTAAGTGGCTCTCCATTCTACAGTTCTGCCTTTTGACTCCTATGATTTGTTTTTAATATTGCTGTAATTTTGGGGGACTCACTCAATTTGGGCCTACTCTTTCCTACAAATCTCAGTTTCTAGAGTTCACTTGGTCCCTGTTAAGCAGAGATAATGTTGGCAATTGCCCCTGTTTAAGGTCACTGCGATTAAATTCCTTTACTGTAGGATGGTTGGGTGCTATGTGCAAAGTCAAAGCAGGCGAAGAGTAACTCTGTTAGTTTGAAGTTTTTTTTTGTTGTTGTTATACTGAATTATGTAAAGGTTTTCAGGCATATTTCCTTTCAAACAATAAACCTTGGAGCTCTTAGTCAAAAAAAAAAAAAAAAAACTCTGAAAGTGACCTCATAATTACCTCCCCTTCCACTTTCTTTGCCCCTTTCCACATCACCTTTTAAAGAATTCTTTGGTGCTGAAACCACTAAATTAACAAGCAGGAAGGAGATCTGGAGCAGTGGGAGCCCAGGGAAAGGGAAGGGAGTAGTGACCCCTGGAGGGGGGGAGGGGTGGTGCCTACTTAAGTCTCTTAAGGATGCAGTTGCTGAATTTGTTAAGATCTCAGCAATTGAATTTCAGCCCTTTTTTGATCTGGGACATGTTCTCAGGCTGGTTTGCCTTTTGATAATTCCTCAACCAGCAGTCAGGCAGGGAAGAGGGACCTGGGAAGAGCAGCCCATTGCAGTTCCTGCATTTAACAAATCCTCTCGGCTCTTCACACTTGCACTTTGACCCCTCTGTCTGTTTCTCCCCACCTGTCAGTCCTGTGCTCCCCTGCCCCGCCTCCATCACAGCCTTTAGCAGGAGTGGGCTGCCTACACTCAGGGCACACTGGGCCTGGCTCACGCACCAGGGTTCCTATCAGCACCTGTAATCCTATAAGTCAGGGGAAGGAAAGTGAAGTCAGTCATGTCAGACCCTCTGTGACCCCATGGAACGTAGCCTACCAGGCTCCTCCGTCCATGAGTGCTGGAGTGGGTTGCCATTTCCTTCTCCAGGGGCTCTTCCCGACCCAGGGATAGAACCCAGGTCTCCCACATTGTAGGACAGACGCTTTACTGTCTAAGCCACCAGGGAAGTCAAGTCAAGGGAAAGCACTGCAGTGTGTAGTATGCCATGAGCATTTATATACACCCGCTATGTAGGTGACCTGCTATGTAGGTGACCTGCTATGTAGGTGAGCCGCAAACAACTTCCTGTTAGCATCTCTCCCCTTTCTCAGAGCAGTTCTGAGACGTGGGGCTGTTGTGTGGTGGTAGTTATTGCATCACTATTGTCAAAACAGAGTTCTCCTTATGTTTATGAAACTTACAAAACCTAGTTATTTAAGCTCCAGGTTGGGTTCCCCTGGTGACTCAGTGGTAAAGAACCCGCCTGCCAATACAGGAGAAGTGCGTTAGATCCCTGGATCAGGAAGATCCCCTGGAGAAGGAAATGGCAACCCACACCAGTATCCTTGCCTGGGAAATCCCATGGACAGAGGAATCTGGTGGGCTACAGTCATGGGATTGCAAAGAGTTGGACATGACTTAGCAGCTGAGCATACACATTTTTATTAAACCTTCTATTGACCTATAGAAAAGACAGATCATAAGAGTGTAGCTTCATAAATTTATGCGAACTCAACATACCAGGTAACCAGCACTGAAAAGGGACTAACATGTAGTTTCCAGCATCCCAGAAACCACCTTCCCAGGATAACCACTGTCCTGACTTCTCACAGCATAGATTAGTTCCAGCCGGTTTCCGTATCTTGTGCTGTGCTTAGACGATCAGTCATTTCTGATACTCCTTGCAACCCCATGGACTGTAGCCCACCAGGCTCCTCTGACCGTGAGGATTCTCCAGGCAAGAATACTGGACTGGGTAGCGATGCCCTCCTCAAGGGGATCTTCCCAACCCAGGGATGGAACCCAGGTCTCCCGCATTGCAGGCAGATTCTTCACTGTCTGAGCCCCCAGGGGAGCATTCATATCTTTTATAGTATTTAACAAGTAGAACAAAACTGAATGTATATTTTAAAGAGAAGGTGACTTAGGAGCCCATGTGTCCCTTTGGGCTGGGGGAGATCTGGGGTAAGAAAGTGCAGAATGAGAATGTCAAACAGTGTTTTTTCTTTCACTATTTCTGAAACAAATGGTGACATTACTGCAGTGAGTCGCATGCTGAGGGTGACAGAGGAGCCCAGAGGACCTGTGGAGAAAATCATAATAATAGAAATGCACCTACAGTTGCCACATCCAAAGGCTATGTCCTTGGGGGAGTTTTTAATATGTACTCGCTTTGGGACTTCCAAGAGGGGTGAGGGGTGGGTGGGGTGTGCACATGCGGGTGCTGTGGCTTTGCAAATGAAACCACAGCGAGTTTCTGAGGCTGGAGATCTTGGACCCCCTTTTCTAGTCTTCATGTATAGTGGGATTTCACCTTCCCAGCTGGTAATCTGGAGGAGCTAGGTCAGAACTTGGTTAAGGCTCCCCTGTCCCCATGCTCAGATGAGAGTCAGGGACAGCCAGATGCCTTAAATGTCCTAGACATTTTTGTCTTCTTTGATTGTGGTGTTGTATGACAATAGTCTTTTGGTCTTTAGGAACCCTAGCAATTTTCTCATCCAGGACAGATCTTAAAATCTGACTTTCCCAGTATTTTGGTTGTACCCCCGTCACTGGTTAGTATCTTGGTACAGAACTTGAGGGAAATGGAGTTTTTTTTTTTTTTTTTTCTATTAAGGTATTTATTTTAGATGCAAATGTGAAATGGAGTTTTTAAGTGAAGATTTAAACCCACTTGCAACATTCTCTTTATTTTAAAATAAAGTGAATTTTACAAGAAAAAAATTTTGCTGTTGTGCTCCAAAACAGCCATTTTGCTCCACAAGGTGAAAGAACATTTTGTAGAACCTGGCGTGATAGAAACTGGTGGCTTGTTTCATTTTCCCTTGGAGAATTAAAAGTGCTCACACATATCACTTTATATTTTAAGTAGTCCAGAGAGGTATGTGTTTAAATGGAATGAATAATTTAGTAAAGGTCAGTAGTAAAATGGAACTAATTTTTATTATACAAACAATGACTAATTTTTCACTAGGAAAATGATACCTTTTATCAAGGAGCAGTTAAAGGGATTTATCTTGCCATCCAGATATAATTGGGTTATTCTCTTTGGTTAGAAGTTCGTGTTGCAAAACCATATTTTCTATTTTATAAGATCTTTTATTTAGTACTCCCAAACATTTCTAATAGTTAAAGAATCTGTAAAATCAGCCATTTACTTGATCTGCATTACTATTATACAGACTTGTCAATCTTTGTTTCAGATTCAAGGCACCTGCAGAGTACAGACATTTTGAGATAAGAAAACCTTGAATCGACATTCAGTATTGAGATTATCCTTATGTATTTCATCTTTCATAATTACATGTAAAGCACTTATTTTCCTGTATCATACTCTTAGCTTTGTTGTTACTATTAGTTTCATGACTTAAGTCACATTCTTATGAATATTTTGCAGCAAATTAAGGAGACTAAAAAGTGAAAGGAGTGTTAAATATAACATAATTTATATTTAAATTATGAGTGAGTGTTGTCTCCTTCAAAATAAACCCCTCTGGATTCAGGATCTGTTTTCCAGCAAGGTTGCATCAGGGTCTAGGGCCTTAGCTTTTGAGACTTAAAAGTAACCTGGAACCAAATATGGTAAACACATAAAGGGTGAGCAGCTTACATAGGGAGGGAGCTAGCATTTCTCAAGCCTCCGTAACAGGACTTGTCTATACTTGAGTGTCCCTGCAAAAAGGGGGCTACTGACTCCATTTGATAGATGGGCAAGCTCATAGAAGTATATGGCCTGCCCAAGTTCACATAACTAGCAAGTGGGTTTGATTCCAGTCAATGACTCATCCTGCCCATTATGCTGATTATTTGTTTTTTCTAACTATGTTTAGAAGAATGTATCTCTATAGTCATAAAACTGATTTTGGCGGGGGGTGGTTCTGGTTTATGAACTGATTACAATTGCAAATGAACAGAAGGATGTAAAATTTTTTTTGAAAAATGTCTTCATTATTGAAATAAGCAACTTCTTGAGAGAACTCTGATATAGATGTCTATCCTATTAATGTATATGAGAAAACCGGTGTTTGAAATGTTGTGTCATATGATAAATGAGTTCACCCATTCTCCAAATTATCTGACTTGAACGTCACACTGGATTTTTAAAAAGAATTTGTTGATTCATCTGTTGGATTGAGAGTAACTTCATTTATTATGTAAGTGATTTCAGGAACTTTTAACTTGATTATTTTTGACTAGAGAGCTGGAAACATTTGCTGCTATGAGATTGCTCTTTCATAAACAGATAATCCGGATAGAGTGGGAGGAAGGAGGGGCCACCAGGCGATACTAAAAGTGGGAGTCCAGGCCTCTGTGAGGTTGTGGCCCCAGGTTGGGTCAGAGGTCACCGCCATCTGGAGGTTAGACCCGAAGGTGCTCTGGGTGGCATAGTGATTGGTGCAGGTATGCTTAAGTCTTTAGGGAATTGGAATTTTCCCAGTAATGTCCCTTTTCTAATGGTGGTTGTTGTTCAGTCGCTCAGTTGTGTTTGACTGCTTATAACCCCATGGACTGCAGCATGCCAGGCTTCCCTGCCCTTCACTGTCTCTTGGAGTTTGCTCAAACTCATGTCCATTGAGTCAGTGATGCCATCCAACCATCTCATCCTCTGTCGCCCCCTTCTCCAGCCCTCAGTCTTTCCCAGCATCAGAATCTTTTCCAGTGAGTTGGCTCTTTGCGTCAGGTGGCTAAAGTACTGGAGCTTCAGCATCAGTCCTGCCAGTGAATATTCAGAGTTGATTTCCTTTAGGATTTACTGGTTTAGACTCCTTGCTGTCCAAGGGACTTCTCTTCTCCAGCACCACAGTTCAAAAGCGTCAATTCTTTGGTTCTCAACCTTCTTTATGGTCCAACTTTCACATCCGTACATGACCACTGGAAAAACCATAGCTTTTACTATATGGATCTTTAGAATTTTTAAGATGTAGAAAATAAAACATATCATAAGTCCAAGACTACTACTTGCTCTTTTGTGATTTATTAGCCTAAATTATTTTTTAAAATTTTATATTATTAAAAAATACTTTTGTGTAGTCCAAAATATATAAAGGTCATATTTATATTCCACATAGTTCTTGGTTACCCCGTAAGTGTGTTCTGAACTGAATCAGATCGAACACAAAGATTTGCAAAGTAGGTTAAATGTACTGTACCATATTTTATAGTCTCTTAATACAGATTTGTTTGCTGGCATGGGTAAACCTTTCTTTTTTTTTTTTCAAATATACCAAGCAGGACAGTAGAGTAATACGATATAACTGATGAAAGCAATGAAAAAGTGTCATATACCTAATGCACTGAGATCTGGCATCAGGGGCTGGGAGAAGCCCTGCAGGAAGCCATGCACTCCTCTGGAAGTGTCAGGGTCAGCTCTGGGTGGTGAGTCTCATTCAAGACAGAAACTCACACCAATCATTTTAAAAAAATCTCTTTCCAGAAACCGAAAGCTCCAGCATCTCCTGCCACAGTGGAAGATTTCTGCCCTTCCTTTCCTAAACCCCCAGTGGACCCCGCGAAGATTAGAAGGATAAGCAGTGCCCGGGCGCGTTTATTCAGGGCGGCCTCGCAGGGGGCTCTTCTGCCAGCCAGGACCCTTCTTCCCACTCAGTGTAAGGCCTTTAAAACCTTTAAAACGTAATAGACTTTAAAACCTGCGGGCAAATGTGTTTCCTGAATTTACACACACAAACTATGTTTATATGATTTTTTATGTTAACTAAGACTTAGTATCGTGCAAAAGCTGGTTAAGAAACATTGTTCGTATATTTTTCTGGGTGTTTATAAAGAATACCTAAATATTAGGGTTTTTTTTTAAAATGTTACTTGGTAGAAAAAGAATCTTAGGATAAGTGTTTTTTAGTGAATGAGTTCACCTACCCTGGAAGTAATTTCTGAATTAGAATTCCAAAAGTTGTTCGTTTCATTAGACATATTTAAGATTTATATAATATACACTCATGAAAATACTTTTCTGATCCTATGTGAAAATTGAAGCACAACGTGAATGGGACTTTTCCTACAGCCCCAGAAATGTTGGCAGGTATCTTAAACCTGTAAACAGAGAAGCTAAAAACCTCAGATTCTGATGTCCCAGTAATTGGAGTTACCCCTTGTCCACAGCATACTAAGAGTTTTTCAAACTGTAGCAAATACTCCATTAGTGGGGTGACAATCAATTTAGTGGATCACACCAGCATTTAAAACAATATAAAGTAGAATAAAATAGAATGGAAACTATCAGAGCACATTGCAGATAGTGAACGTTAGTCTGTCTTTAAGGATTTCACTTCAGCCTCGTATGTGTGTTCAGTATCATAAATTTACTATGCATCATGTTTATATTACACCATATTATACATTTCTCATTACTAAAATTACACCATATTATACATGTCCTGAAAGTTGAAAATCCACTTTAGCTGGGTCTGACAGAACCAGCACTCCTTCCGTCGACAAAGATTGATAAGACCGGGCAGGTTTACACTCACAGAGAGGAGACACTCTGCAGATGATCCCGGAAGTTATGGTAGGAGCCACTCCCTAAGCATCCTACTTGTTTGACATATAAGCCTTTTCTCTTAACCAGTCACCAGCATAAATGTAGAGGATCTCACGGAAGACTCTAGATGCATGACCGTTTATGCAAGTAGGCCTCACCCCCTGGTATGTGATTTGGTATGTGATCTGCAGTTCCTGGTCTCCCCAGCGCACTGCCACTCACTTTCCTGTCTGGTCGCTATGGTCCCTGACACAGCTGAAGAGACAGAATCGGGGAGAGAGGAAAAGGCAGGCAGCGCTGGGTGTGCGGGCCACCACTGGACGCTGTAAGAAGTATGTAATTAGGCATTCTGCGTTACCTCACTGTCCCCATTTCTTTCTTTTCCAATAGGCAATTGGCTATTTATTGAGCACCTACTAGCTGCCAGGTACCAGTTTAGGCCAACAGAGTCTTGCCCTCAAAGGGGAGATAGACAGTAAACAGGAAAACCCAGATATAGGATAATTAGGCTCTGATGAGTGCTAAGAAGAAGATAAGCTGGATCCTGGGATGGGGAGTGACTGTGGCAGAAGGAATTGTGTCAACTCTGGAAGGTGTCCCTGAAGAGGTGGTGTCTGAGTTGAAATGTGGATAACGATAAGAAGACAGTCAGGTAGAAATCTGTGAGCCCAGTGCCCAGGCTGAAGGGACAGTGAGTCGGTAGGTGGGCACAAGTTCAGCTGGTGGGCCCCGAGGCCTAGGTGGCCAGAAAGGGGAGGGAGCTGAGGTCCCAGAGCCATTCGGGGCCAGGCCAGTAGGGAGACACGGCCAGGGCTTTATTCTTCCTGCAGTGAGAAGCCAGGGCAGGATTTAAGCAAGGGAGAGACTTCTGTTTCTCAATACTAGCTGCAATTTTAGAGTCATTGGGGAACTTTTCAGATGTTGCTCCACCATGGCCCCCATCAGACCAGTTACATCAGAAAGGGTTGGTGCTTACGGGAGCCAAGTCGAGAAGGGATGGGCTCCGGCAGCCACACGGTGCAGAGTGAGGTCAGACTCAGATAGGAACGGGGCCACTTCTCGTAAACAGGAGGGCAGAGCTGTTGTTTATTCGATGTTTTTGCTTCTAAACCCAAATGCCGCACACATTTAATTCTTGCTGGCTCCCACTTGAGAACCGGGCTGCTTGCTGAGCTGTTCCCATATATAGTGTGAAGGTACCAGGAGAGGTGGACATTTCCCCACCGGCTGAAGCATGTCTCTGTCTGGGTTCTTGCATCCACCCTGGGGGCAGTTGCCCTCTTCACCATTCCCACCAACCCTGCAGTCTGCGTCAGCACCCGGGAAATCGTGGCAGTAAAAAGTCATTGTTTTTTTGAAAGCGCACATCACCCAATTTAAAAAGTGTTCTAACATCCCAGGCTTGGACTCCTTGTCCTTTGTACGGAGCTCCCCGGGCTTGTCTCAGAATCCCTATTGTTTAAGAAAAGGTATCTTTTGTTGGAAACAGACTGTAAAGGCTGCTCTGTGTGCAGACAGGGCCAGAGGGTGTGTCCCTTCCCCTGGTATGAAGTCATTAGTAGCTGACAACTCCCCCAGCAGAGCTGGGGGTGTGTGGTGGCAGGTTTGGAATTCCTGATTGAGGAAAATGAGAGAAGAGATGTGTATAGTCATGTTCATGGGGCCAGCAGTGTAATCTCTTGTGTTCAGATAGTTTTTGGCTGAAGGTGACCATGACGCTCTGGTTATTCCAGCTAGATGGAGACCTCCGAGCAGGTCCACCTTCTCACAGCCCTTGTATCTTAGCCACCCCAGACAGGCGTCCTGCATGGGCTTCCTGAACGTCCCCAGAGTCTGTGTTCTCCATCCCACTGATGCCATGTCGCGTTTATCACCTCTTACCCTATCCCTGGTCATCTAGTGCTCCTGTCTTGCTCCACCTTCCAGTTGCTAGGGGGTTGCAGGTAGGTCAGCATTGGAACCCTTGGAGGTATCAGAGTCTGATCACGCTGAGCACCCATCCAGACATGGCTGTGAGCAGCAGCCTTGTCCTTCTATCCTCATGGACTGTGAAAAATGATGACTTTCTCTCCATGTGCCATAAGGGAAGAGAGATCAGGAAGCAAATAAAAATCAGATTGCTTCGTCTTCTTGCTGAAAACCCTTCAGAGAGCAGTTGCTGTGCCTAATGGAGTGGTTGCCAAACTGAGTTCCAGGGAACACTTTTGGCAAAAATACAGCTTTTCCTTGGAGTAAAGGTCCCGTGCTCCATTACAATGCATGTGAGCAATTACAGGATGGGGGAAAGCCATCTGGTGAAGTCACCTGTTTAGTTTTACTTTAGCCCAGCATTTCCCAGACCTACCTGGCTATGGACTATGTCTTTGGAAAACACAGTTTGGAAAATCATGTTGGACCTAGCACAGAAGTTGGCAGGCTTTTCTGTGAAGGGCCAGCAAGTGAGTTTTTAAACCTTGCGGGCCTCAGAATCTTCTGGTCAGCCTTCTCAACTCTGCCAGTGCAGTGGGAAAGCAACAGTAGACCAGTGAAATTTGAAGTTTCATATAATTTTCACATATTACAAAATACTGTTCTTTTGATTTTTTTTGATCAACCCCAAAATATAAAAGCCATTCTTGGCTTGCATGCTACATAAATGCAGGTGGTAGGCCAGGTTTGGTGGGGCTGCAGTTGACTGACCCGTGATTCACGGGTGAAGTCTTCACCCTCCAGTGTGCACAGCCCCGCCCCAGCCTCGCATTCCAGGCCCTTCTCTGTCCTCTCTTGCCTGTCCACCCACTCCCTACCTCTGGTCCGTGCACCAGCAGTATGGAACCCTTGCAGTTCCCCTTACCCATCCTGCTGTTTTGAGCTTCATGCAGGCTCTGCTATATAATTTGTTGGACCCAGTGAAAAATGAGGAAATGTGGAGTTCTTTGTTCAAAAATTCCTTAGAATTTCATGATGGCAACAGCAAAGCCTTAAGCCAAGCGTGAGGCCCTTATAAGCCTGGGGCCCAGCTTGACAGTGCAGCTTGGACCTACTTGAAGCCAGCTCTCATCCCAGACCTTTGCTCCTTTTTCTCAGAAATTTTTCTTTGGTGGGGGTGGGGGGACGGCCTTCTGCCAACCCTTTGGAATGCTTTTCAGGCTCCACCTTCTCTGTAATCTTTCCCTGAGCAGCTCCAACCCCTCAGGGCTCTCTGTGCACGCCTCCTTACCTGGCACAGACCACACTGCTCTGCATCTCTCTCTGGACAGATCTGCCTCTCTGTTTTCCCCTACTAGACTGAGTGGGAAAAGGGGGTTTCTCTGTTTGAAGCCCAGGAGCCTGAAACAGGGTGTAGTCTGCAGTAAGTGCCAAAGAAATATCCTGAAACAGGACAGTTCCTATTTTCTTGGTAAGGCTAATGATTGTTGAATCCTTTTGAAACAAATGTACCTGTGATCTACTACAAAATGAGTACAGCATGCTGCATGTATTTGCCAGAGGTACCCGGGCTTCATCACTCAGGCTCGGTCGAATGGTAGACCTCAGGCAGGATTAAGAGTGAGCCCCGGCTGCTCTTCTCTGTCAGGCTAACTGACCGCCCACTTCTCCATTGAGAAAACAGGCTGCTGCTCCTCTGTCTTCAAGTAAGGTTGCATTTTCCCCTCTAGAACAGGAGCTCCATAGCGTCTGGGACTTCTCACTTCACCCCTAGACCACCAGCCACGGAGCATCTGGCACATGGCGGCGTGTGCTTCATAAATATTTATGGAGCGAACAAGTGAAAGAAACGAATACTAAAATATAGGGACAGGCTCAAAATGCTTTGTAATCTGAAACGAAGCATGTGCTTTGTAATTCAGTCCTCAAGACCTTTAAGGATGTGTGGTGCTGAGAGAGCCCTGGACTAGCAATCAGGATTCTCGGGTTCCATGAATAATAATGACCACGACTTCCAGGTGGTGAGTGTGCTGGCTCTATGGAAGTCACTTTACCAGGCCAGATCACTTAATTCTCACCACGTCTCTAGAGGTGGGGAGCACGGAGGAAGAGGAGAGAAGCTGAGTGAGCCGCCCGCATCCCCCAGCCTGTACCCGACCCCAAGTCTGATAGAACGCCCAGCCTGCCCTCTCCCTAACACACGTCCTGGCTTTGCCCAAACCTGCTGTGTGACCTTGGACTGATCACCTTTTGGGTTCTCCATTTTTCTCATCTGAAAAATGAAGGCTAGACTAGCCAATCTTTAAAGTGCCTTTCTGCTGTAAAACTCAGTGTTTTGAAAGCACAGAGCTTAGTCAGAGAGGCAGACTAGGTGGTTTTGTTATTGTTGGTTTTTATTGGTTTGATGGTTCAAGCACAGAAAAGGAAACCTTGAGTCATTTTTGGAAAAGCTTGCAAAACTACTTCTGTATGAGAAATAGCTCATCCTCCTTGCCCCTTTGAAAAACATATGTTATCACCAGCTAGAGTTGAGTAGCAGCATCATGGGTCAGCTATTCCTAATGTCAATTTGCTGATGAAGAAACAGTGTGATATTTTAAATCTAAGGATCTTGCCACTGTAAACACAGTAGATGTTTCAGTTCAGAGACTAGACATCTTTTTATTGCAACTCTTATTTCTCTTGAGAAAGACTTCCAAGTGTTCTGGTGCCCTCCTCTATCCCTGCTGGGAAATGGTCTGCTGGGCCCCTACGAGCCAGCTCCTGACCACCTTTCTCCTCCCCACCCTGTCACACACGCCACTCATGCTGTTCCCTGAGGGCCCCAGACACACTCCTGCCTTTGGGTGTCTGCACCACCAGTTCCCTGTGCTGGAAACACACTCCCTCGTCACTGGACAGCTCAATGCTTCCCCTTCAGTAAGGGTTTGCCTACCATGCCCACCTGTTAAAATTTGTTCCCTGCCCCCATCCCCAATCCCAATCCCCTTTTCCCCTTCTCCACATTTCTGCTTTTGCTTTTTCCCATAGCACCTACCCTCTTAAATACTTCACTTATCATGGTCTGTTACTTATTGTCTGTTGTGTAAACAGGTGTACTGTAAGGATGTAAGCTCTGTGAGGGCAGGGATCTTTGTCACTAATGCACCCCAAGTGCTTAGGACAATGCCTGACATCAAGAAAACACTCGATATTTCTGAATGAAAAAGTTCCAACATGATCAAATTCAGGAAGAAGCATTGCTATGGGACACAGAGGTATTTATGTGGACTAGGTAGTTCATAAACCTAAATTTGAGTATTTGCCTACAGTGAAAGACAGGGAAAGCCTGGCATGCTGCAGTCCATGGGGCCACAAAGAGTCAGACATGGAACAGCTGAACAATAACAAAACTCTAAGCTAATAGAGCTAAGATCTATTACTTTTTACCTGCTGAATTGATGATGTCAAGCCTAAATTAGTGATGAGGTCTTGGGTGCACTCAGGGAGATTTTTTTTTAATTAATAGATTTTATTTTTTAGAGCAGTTTAAGGTTTCATTTTAGAGCGAGAGTGAGTGGGAAGTACAGAGAATTCCGATACCCTCCACTTCCCACCTGGTTCCCACCTCCTTTCCTCTATTTAAAATCTTGCCTTAGTGTAATGCATTTGTTACACTAGATGAGCCAATATTGATATATTGTTATTAAGTAAAGCTGTTCAGGGAGGTTTTGTCCATACAATTCCAGACTCAATTATAAGTAATATATAATTTTTAAACTGTATAACTTCTTGGATTAAAAAAAATAATGAAAGATGGTGAATCCTAAAATAAATGGCTTTGACAAAACATTTCCTTGGTTATTACAGCAAAGAGAGTGGAATCCGAAGAAACAGTTACGACAAGGGACTCTGTGGTGAAAATAAATGGGATTTACTTAACAGAATCAAAGGCCATTGGCCACTTAAAGAGTCACCCACTTCAGCTAACATATGATGGAGACTTCAGTAAAATCACGGAGCAAGAAATGTTTAAAGGGGCAACATCCTTGCCATTTCATCTCAGAAGTGGAGGGTCAGTATTCTTTTCACTTAATTTCCAGGTCAGAGCGACTGTGTCATTTACCAGTTTGTTCTCTCTGTTATGTAGATGATTGATTTGCATTTTCCCCTTTTATATAAACAAATTTTAAATTTATGATGCATGAGTAGGAGAGATTTCTTCTCAGGGCTGAATGGGGTTGATTTTACATCTCCCTCTTCGCTCCTCAGGAAAACATTTATTCATACCTGCCAAAATGCTGCTTTGATAGGGCTGTCAGACTAAAGTCTCTGCTTTATTTGGGCTGTTCCAGCCAGCCCTTGAGTGATGACTGATCATACTGTTTGTGTTATGTGGGATTCTTGCCCGGCCTGGAATTTCTCACTACCTCCCTTTAGGTTAGTCCACTCTTGTGGACGCCACCAAACTTGATTTATCTTATTTTCCAGTAGAAACTTGGATTAAAATATTTATTTTGCAAACTAGAGTTAAAACAGGAGAGTCCTGTGAATTCCTCTTATCTGTGATACCTCGCTACTAATCCCTCATATAATGAACGATTGGGAGTTACTCTGTTTCATACCACATTCCTGGAGAAAGCTTTTATTCCCACCCCAGTCTGTGTTGACCCTTTCACTACCACCCCACCTGTGTAAGAACCCCTAAATTCATACCATGTTCCTAGATACGGCTTTCTAGGGCTTCCCCACCAGACTCCAGTACTCTTGCCTGGAAAATCCCATGGACAAAGGAGCCTGGCAGGCTGCAGTCCATGGGGTCGCTACGAGTCAGACACGACCGAGGGACTTCACTTTCACTCTTCACTTTCATGCACTGGAGAAGGAAATGACAACCCTCTCCAGTGTTCTTGCCTGGAGAATCCCAGGGACAGGGGAGCCTGGTGGGCTGCCATCTTTGGGGTTGCACAGAGTCGGACACGACTGAAGTGACTTAGCAGCAGCAGCGTCAGGGCTTCCCCTAGGAAACAGAGGTGCAATTTTCCTACCATATTAAGGATTTGTAGAGAAGTGTTCACTTTGTGAATTCTTATACTGGTGTTTTCCTAAGGAAGCCTTGGATAACTGGGGAACCAGGGTGGGAAAGAGAGCAGGCTGTGGTTTCCAGTCCCAGCCAGTAGTGGTGCTAAGATAGGCAGGAGGTCTTGAACTGGACAGGGTCACTCAGAGATATTTTTCTATGATTTTCCATTGGGTCATTGTGAACAACTGCCCAGTTAGGGTTTGCTTAACAAGATTAAATTCCATGGGCCATTTTAAGACCAAGTGCCTGTTGCCCTCACTTTAGATTCGGGTCTGACTTTGGCTTGTACCCATGCCGTGTGCTTAAAACTGCCTCCACCCCTACTGGCTGCTTGGCAGTTGGTTAGTTTAGCTGAACTGACCTTGTCTGCTGACACAGCCCGAAGAGCAGTGCACACACAGAATTTATATTAGGCAACCTAGTAGTCCTTGTCATGTCACTGCATTCAGAACTTTTTTTTTAAATTAAAGGAAAAATGAAATGTCTCCTTAAGTGGAAGAGAAGGACTTCAAGTTGGGACTTTGGGAGTTGAGCACAAAACATCAAACTGGCCATTGCAACAGATCTTTTCCAGTTGGTGAATAAGAATAGGCTGCAAACCTCAGAGCTTAAACATAAAAGGCAGCAGGAGAACTTGTGTTTCTTTCAGCACTGAACTGAAACGGAAACATTTATCTTGCTGCACCCATCCTTACAGTAATTAAAGTTGACTAGGAAAAACCAGACAAGAGCTGTTTTTCTTTTCTTCTTTTGTAAGCCTTCAAATGTTGTGGAATAATCTAGCAAGCCAGGGTTCATTATTTATTCCTCAGTCTGGGACAGCAAAGGCATTTTTGGTTACATATTTTATCTCACACACAGCAGAGGAGAAATCAGTTAGGGACTGGTGGCACTTCTTCCTGATGGTCCAGAATTAGGAGGTGCTGGGTAGCAGCCCTGGTTGCTTCCTTTTCACTTTGTTAGGATGTCTTCTGCATCGTTCAGTGAATTGTGTCTGCCCCAGATTTGTTATACACCCTGGCAGGTTTAATTTCCAGTAACATTTTGGCTTTATGAATCTTTACCCCCTTTAATCATTGGATGGGATTTTTGTTGAGGTGGTGCCAGAAAAAAGTTTTTTTATATAGTAGGATTAAAACAAACCAGAAAATGGAAACTCTTAGCAGTTCTTTCATTAATTGCATTCGTGAATCAATCTGGAACACTTGATGGTTGTTTCTGGTAAACATTTAAGCAAATAATTCCAAGAAATGATTTTTGCTGTGCAGTGGAGTATTCCCAGTCTTGATGGTAAAGCCCTACCCTCAATTAACATGTTTTCATGTTTAGACCAGAAAGTGGGAAATGAAGACTCTTGTCAGTGAGCTGAGCTGGCCGGAGAAGGGAGGAAAGGGATTGAGTAATTGGAGCTGACAGGGGGTTGAGGGCTGAGAAGCAGAGAGTGGAGGAAGGGAGGTCAGGCTCCATACAGGGTCTTTGCTGCTGACCTGGCGTGGGAGCCGCCACCTTCATGCCGGTGCTTTGTGGCCTAGTAAGAGAAAGGAGCAGTTTAATTTGGTGAAACTGTGTTGATTTTAGGGAAACCCTTAATTTAGAACAAACTCAGACCTGGGATGAACTGGAGTTTAACTTTATGTTGGTCGTGATGGAAAAAGGACTTGCTAGACGAGGCATCATTGCAGACAAGGTTGGGGGCGGGGAACTGGGCACTGTTTAACTTTCCAGACGAGAAAAGCACTCTCCAGCCCTCACTGAACCGTCATCTTCAAACCATGTGCCAATCAACGACAACCTGTGTGTCCATGCGAGGAGTCCAAGTTTGGCAGGCCTGCAGTTAGCAACACTCCATCTTCTCTTGCTTTATGTTGCTATGTTTTGAAAATGGCTTTCTTCAAAATACATATGTGTGTGTGTATCTCCATCCATCATCTATCCAGTGGTTCTGTCTGATGAACCCTTTTATACATCTGCTTTTAAAAACCTTCTAAGAGTTTCTGTGTAAATATTGTTCAGCTTCTTGTGGTTTGGAAATGTGACTTTTAGGAGGAAAGTCCAAGAGCAGTTACTTGTGGGGGTTAAGAACTCTTTAGGGGTCAGAATCTGTGGATTCAGAATCAGTTCTCTCTCAGCCATTTGATTCAGCTGTATGTTCTTTTTTTTTTTAAGTTTTTTTTTTTTTTTAATTTACTTGGCTGTGCCAAGTTGTCATTGCAGCATGCTGGTTTTTTAGCTGTGGCATGGGAACTCTTAGTTGAGGCACATGGCATCTAGTTCCCTGACCAGGGATTGAACCCAGCTCCCCTGCGTTGGGAGGTCAGAGTCTTAGCCACTGGACCATCAGAGAAAGTCCTCAGCTCTATGTGCTTGGACAAGCCTCTGAACACTTCCAAGGGCTCAGTTTTCTAATCTATAAGCTGTTCTCCTTTCATCCCTGTCTCCTCCCAGCATTCACTCAAAGCTGTGAAATGAGAGTAGTTGGTTTGGAGGTGGGCACATGATCTAAGCCAGACCAATTGAATCCTTCCCTGGGACTTCTGCCAAAACCTTTGGGGAAAGTGCTCTTCCTCCGGGTTCACAAGCTGTAAAGAATGACGTAGTCTTGGAGCCAGCAGTGGCTGTTTCATTGCCTGTGGAGGGTGACTGATGGGAAGTGACATATAAACAAGCAGAGCCAAGGAATGGAGACTGCGATACGTTCAAGGATGACATGTAGACCCCTAAATCCAGCTGTGCGTGAGGCCACCACATCCACCATTCTTTTCTCTTTCTCTCTCTCTCTCTCTGGCCCTTCTTTCGTTTCTTCTTTCTTCCCTTCCTTCCTCTTTCTTTTCTTTCCTTTCTTATCTTTCTTCCTTCCTTCATTTACCTTGACAGGAACGGCTTATGGTGCTTTAGGTTTTTGTTGCTTGGAATATGGCAACCGGGAGTCTTGTTAACCTGCTAGACTGTCTGAAATAGAGGCAAAGGAAGAAACAAATTTCACTAAAAGCGAACCTCTCAGTTAAGAAAGGTGTATCCAGTAGTCTTTATCTAGAGAAAAGAGATGTAAGGATGTGGGCAGGCCGCAGGAGAAGTGGGGAAGCCACAGTCAAGGCCCCGTTCATGAGCCAGAGTGTGGGGAACCCCCTGGTGGTCCAGTGGTTAGGGCTTTACGCTTTCGCTGCTCAGAGCCCCGTTTCAGTCCCTGGTCAGAGAACTAGGATCCCACACGCCGTGCGGTGTGGCCAGAGCGCAGAGAGCTGACGTGTGACGCAGAGCAGGGGAAATGGAGCTGAGGATGGCACGCTCCCCGCATTTCCTGTGATCCAGCCAGTTGTGTGTGTGTGTGTGTTTATGGGGGAGGGAGTTTGATGGGTTAGAACCTAAGGAACCCAGCCTGTAAAGGGGCTTTTCTGTGAGTCATGAAACCTGCTACATACTGTCCAAGCCAAGAGAACACACACTGCAGGTTGAGAGAAAGAACAGGATTTTCAGATAGACAGTCAGGGCAAAGTCGAAGCTACAGAGCACCCCAGTTCTCACCCTGCATGGACTGTTTTCATTCTTCCAGCAAATCCATGGCTCTGTCTCAAGATAAGTAACGCCAGGACAAGAGTGAACATGGAACCCGAGCATAACTTTGTAATGAACATAACAAAAGACAGATGAAGGAAATGGACCGCAAAAGGAACTGCCCCCCAAGAGTAAGGAGAGTTTTACAAAAGGGAAAACAGCTCCTTGTTGGCTGGTAAGCATGCAAATTAGAGATCTTAAGTCCTTGATCTCGTGAAGAAAGAGCATTCACTCACAGTTCTCAAAAAAAAAAAATGGAAGAAAAATGTATAAACATGGAGAGAAGAGCCACATCAGAAGTAAAAGCAGTTGAAAATGCAGTCAGATACAGTGGTTAAACTAGAGGAAATCAAACATAGAGAAGTGAATGAGAAAATAGGAAAATGATTAGACTGAGATAAAAATGAGAGGCATGGTACTTGTATTCCTGAAGTGGAGAG